TGTGTATGTGTGTGTGTGCGTGTGTGTGTGTGTAGAGCAGCAGGACACGTGGCTGTGTAGAGTGACTCGCTGGCCTTGAAGTGTTCCGTGCTCCCTTTCCTCAATCGCCATCATGCCTGTCGGGGACTCCCTTGCCAAGACGGCCGCTACTGAGGCCAAGAGAATGTGGCCGTTCCTGGTCGGGTTTGGGGTAACGTTCACTCTCTTCCTGAAAGTGTCCACCGGATTGACGGATGAGCAAGCGAAGAAATCACCTTTTGTGAACCCTGATGCACACTAAGGAGTGGGAGGAGCAGCGGCAATGGTGCTGTGGGCCTGTGGTCGTTGCCCCAGCCGTTGGCAGTGGCCTCCACAGCGGCCAAGGGGGATGAATGTGACTTCAACTGTACTCTCACATAGCGGTGGCGATGGCTTTGCTGGCACAGTTATGCCTCGGTGGCTATGTATCTGTCTATGGCTATAGTCGAAGCCTATCCGCTATAGCTGTAGCCACTCATAACTATAGCTATAGCTATAGCCACATAACTAAAGCCTTAGGGACTGACAATGGCTGCAAAGGATGACTCTGGCTGTTGCCAAAGCAATGGAAATAGACATAGTGGCAGCTACGGTGGGAGGTATGGTGGTGGGAGCTACGGCGGGAGCTATGGTGATGTGGGCACTTGTGTAGCTTCAGCTATCGAACTGTTAATAGAGAGAGAGGTTCAGCAAGGTGGTCGTGAAGATAGACGACTATGGGTTGGTAAGGTTAATACTTAGTGAAGGAGGACCCCTGAAGTAGTGCTGCTTCGTCTCTTGTTCCGCCGCATTCTCACCCAAACACACATCCAAGGCAAACCCCTCTTCTTCGTATGGATATAGGCATACATGGGTATGGACTCTATAGGGGGTTGTTTTGAAAAGTTGTTTCGAAAAAAAAAAAAAAAAAAAAAAAAAGAGTGTATAGACAGACAATGTGGCGGTGGCATTGTGATCATTCTGCCATTCGTATAGCAATGGCTATTGCAGCGGCCATAGCCATCGCTTCATCTGGAGGCAGAGAGTCTGTGCGGAGAGACTGGTCAGTGGGAAGGGAGGTGGATGGACGAGGTTGTGTCCCATTTGTAGGATGGATGTCGGCATGTTCCAGATGAAGGAAAGGCTGAGTGAAGGAAAAGTAGGTTGTGGGGGGGGAAGGAGGGGGGGAAAGGGGGGG